CAGAGATCAGTTCCTCTGGAGAAAACAGTGGACTCTGTCATTATACCCTGCTGAGGTCACCACAGAAAATTCACAGTTTGCCCAAAGCCAGAGCACTGCCCCAGAGCCTCTTTCTAGATCCCGTTGTATTGCTTTCACAACGGGCTTTACTGCTAGTGTGTGCCATAAAACGTAATGCCAGTTTCTGGAAATACAAAATGTATTGCAGGCCACTCTGAGACTCCAAGTGAAGGGCAGGGTATAAATCCAATCTTCTTCTTCATAAGTTACCTGACAAAGAAAGCTTGGACTCTCAAAAGGTTATGTCTTAAAGAAGAAGAAGAGATTGGATTTATACCCCGCCCTTCACTACCCAAAGGTGTCTCAGAGTGGCTTACAAACTCCTTTCCCTTCCCCTCCCCACAACAGACACCCTGTGAGGTGGGTGGGGCTGAGAGAGCTCTTCACAGAGACTGCTCTTTTTCAAGAACAGCCCTTATCAGAACTATGGCTTGCCCAAGGTCATCCAGCCAGGTGCAAGTGGAGGAGTGGGGAATCAAACCCAGTTCTCCCAGATTAGAGTCCACACACTTAACCACTACACCAAACTGACTGGACTTGAATCCAGCTCTTCTACTGCAGATCAACACAGCTACCTACCTGAAATGAGCTTCTTGAAGATGATGGAGTGGCTTTAAAGCTTGCTATTAGTGTAAAGAGTAGACTGTTTTCTGAAGAGAGGGTTGCCTGCTAGTTGTGCTTATCCACACACAGAGAAAGGTAAAATTTCTCCCCCACACACACACTTAGAAATTACAGACTAATTGAACTACCTAGATGCACAACTTGTCTTCCCAGGTTGCCCAAAACCACAGCCGCTATTCAGTGTCACAAACAAGAAGAAACTTGTTAAAGGAAGCACATCAGTCGGAAGAAAATAAATCATAAACAATGCTAATCTCTCAATTGCTTTGATAGGTTTAAATCCAGGATACCAGGCCTTAACGTCTTGACGTCTAGACTGTGCAACTAGTTCTGTGTGCCCAAAAGCATTCTTTAGGGTGTGATTTGCAAACAGCTCTCCATTCCACAGAGCACATTCCTTTGTAAACTATGGGAAACTTTCCAAAACTGTTTACGATGCAGCACAAGAGTTTGCTGTTCTAAACGTCAGAAGCTGCACTGGTTCTGCACAAGCCTGAGTTGCTATTTTGGTGCCAACCTTTTGCTTTCTTACCCTCTCTCGAGGGGGCTCTTTGACCAAAAAGCATCATTCTTGCGTGGAGCTGTGTTTCAGGGAGGGGCTGTGGCTAAGTGGTAGAGCTCATGCTCTGTACACAGAAGGTCCCAGGTTTCCAATTAAAGACTATCAGGTAGCAGGTGTTACTGAGGACAATTTCTCTGTCTGATGCCCATGACAGAGACCGCCCATCAGTCCACAGCAGGGGTCCCTAACCTTTTCTTAGCCTGTAGGCACCTTTGGAATTGGAAAGGGGTGGTGGTGGTGGTAACAAGTGCCACACCCAAATGGCTGGTGCAGGAGGCGGAGCCAAATGCACTACCTCCCTCCTTGCTTTGCAAAGGAATCGCAGAAGGGGAATAAAGAGAAAGGGAGGAAAGGTGTGGGGGGGAGAAAGAGGAGGAGGAATAAAAAGAAAGAAAGGGCGAACCATCCATATGCTAAGTATGGCGAACCAGTGGGCTGGTGTAAATGACTTCCCTGTAGGGATGGGCACAAACCGGGAAAATGGTGGTTTGTTATGGCTTGCTTGAGTAAACAAACCATGAACTTACAGCGACTTTTTCTGTTTCCTGAACCGGTGCATTGAGTTCATAAAATGGCCCCACTCAGAAGTGAGCCCCAAAGGCAGCCCAACTCGACTGAGCTCCCAGAGTGGGCTCTGAAGGCTTTCATAGATCTTATATGGGCAGCCCGCCCACCCTCCAGAAATGGGCCTGCCCATATAAGGGCATATAAGGCCTATAAAAGCTTTAGGAGCTCACTTGGACTGGCCGGACCCAGAGGCATTTAAATGCCTTTGGAACTCACTCCCAGTCGGGTGCCCCAACCCAGACGTAAGCTCCAAAGGACTTTGGAACTTACTTGGGTGGGGCTGTGGGCAGGTGGTGGGTTCCAACAGCATTTAAATGCCTTTGGAGCTCACTTCCAGCTGGTCTGCCAGACCCGGAAGCAAGCTCTGAAGGTATTTAAAATGCCTTCAGAGCCCAAGAACATGTCTCCCATGAACCTCCAGGGAAAACATGGAGGTTCGTGGGTAGATCATGGCAGAAACGTTCTCTAGAACCCCTGGTTTGTGAGCCACAAAATGGCCTGGTTCATACTTGGACCAGGGTTCATTTGGGGATTCCTGCCCATCCCTACTTCCCTGATCTCATGCCCTGCCCTCCACTTTTTCACACTTTACAGGGCGAAGGTGTTTTCTCTGTATTTGCTGCATGTTTCTGTGAAATATGTGAATAAGTCTATGAGCATTAAACAGCACTTGCTGGGCTATTGCAAGTGGCCACTGCTCAAACGGTAGATCTCCAGTCTCTTCTGTGCATCACGCTTGTCATGTTTACTGCACAGCCACACAGGAAGCATGCCTGCTACAGCACAGGGGAAGCAGCCAAGACCGAACCTTTTGATCTTTTACTTATTTAGGGAAAAAGTTTAAGTCCAAGGGCACCTTTAAGACCAATGAAGTTCAGGTGAGTAGCTGTACTGGTCTGAAGCAAAAGAACAACATTTGAGTGCAGGGGCACCTTTAAGACCAACAAAGTTTAATTCTGGGTATAAGCTTTTGTGTCCACAGACACTTCCTCAGATACTTCAGTGAGCATGCAAACGAAAGCTTATACCCAGAATTAAACTTTGTTGGTCTTAAAGGTGCCACTGCACTCAAATTTTGTTCTTTTGCTTTAGACCAATACAGCGACTCACCTGAATTTATTTAGGAAAGGTTTCTTCTTGCTTCCCCCCCCCCCCCCCCCACCCACCCCCACCGCCTGGGGTGATGGCGAACCTTTTAGAGACCGAGTGCCCAAACTGCGACCCAAAACCCACTTATTTATCGCAAAGTGCCAACACGGCAATTTAACCTGAATACTGAGGTTTTACTTTAGAAAAAATAAACTCATACATTAGCTTAAGATGATCCAAACAAAGTAAGGAAAGCAATCCCAAATGCTTTCATTTACTTAAAATTATTTGGCAGAGAATTCAACACTTTAATGAAGGTTTGGGCCTGGCTGGGGCGATGGCATGCGTGCCCACAGAGAGGGCTCTGAGTGCCACCTCTGGCACCCGTGCCATAGGTTCGCCACCACTGCTGTAGGGTTTTCAAGCAAGAGATGTTCAGAAGTGGCTTGCCATTGCCTGCCTCCGTATAGCAACCCTGGGCTTCTTGGATGGTCTCCCATCCAATACTGACCCTGTTTCGCTTCCAAAGATTAGTCTAGCCTGGGCTATCTAGCTCAGGGCTCTTCTTGCTATTAAGACTCAAAAAGAAGCACTAAATGTTAAACTAAAGGGGGGAGAAGGAAATAATTAGCCACTCCCAGGAAATGCTTATCCAAAGCATATCTGCATGTACAAACAGAAATTTAAGTTGCTCCCAGTATATAATCCCAAGATACATTTATAGCTTTTATTTATTTGGTTCCTTTTTTACATATTGTGAGTCACCTTGAACCAGGAGGAAAGGTGGGATATAAATAAAAATAAACTATCCTACCCTCCTGCAAGGACCTGTGGGTAGCATACATTATTTGTGGCTTCTCCGTTTTCTTCTCACAATAACCCTGTGAGGTAGGATTAGGCTGTGAGAGAATGAATGGGCCAAAGTCTCCCTGCAACTTCAGTTGTAAAGCTTGGTAGATGTGGCTGTGAGCCCTGCCTGGAAGAGGGAGGGGCAAAGGATCCCTATTTATTTATTTATTCATTCATTCATTTATTATTAAATTCAACTTTCTAGGCCACCCTTCCCTGCAGCAGGGTTCAGGGCAGCTTACATCAAAACCAACACAATAATAATCCATTAAATAGCATTAAAAACTAATAAAAGTCGCTGCTCTAAGAATAATAAAGTTAGTATAAAATAAATTTTATACTTCCTTCAAGCTTCATTTCCAAGGTAAGGCAGGAGACGTTGGCATATATGAACAATTTCCCCCTGCCATAACAGTCCAGCTTTTAAAGGGAGCACCTCCGGGCGCATTTCAAAGGGCGGGGGGGGCTTTGCCAGCCTTAATCAAGGGAACCGGGAGGGCAGGGGCGGCCATTGGCGAGGCTGACCTCATCTGCGCTCTCCCTTCAACACTCCTTCCCCCCGGGAATCTGCACGGATGGCCGGCAGAAAGAGAGCCACTCAGTCATGGCGGGAGGGCTTCCGGTCGGAATCCCCGGCAACAGATGCCGCTGGCTCAGAAAGCAACTTGAGCACCTCTCCTCTTCTCACGGCGAACACTTTCCCGACGTTCCGCTAAAACGACATGTTTGCTTGCTTTTTAAAAAGGCGCACAAAACAGGCAAAGTTGTTCAACTCAAAGGGGGGGGGGGGAACGGGACAGATTTCCACTAAAAGAAACCTTGTCCCTCTAACAGTAGGGCTTTCTGCGTGCACAGTAAAGGCTGGATGCGTCCCAAAAGCCGTTGCAGGGGACGGTCCCCATTCCACGCGCGGTGCCCGCCTTTGCGCATCACTAGCCGTTGCCAACCAGCGCATCACCTGCTGCCGCTCGCATTGTTTCCGAGCCCGAGTTCTGCGCGCGTGTGAAGTCATCCGTCGCGTCACAACAAGTGGGCCCTCCCCCGGCCGCTTCTCTCCCGTCCGTTTCGCTCGGCCCTTCTCTCCCCTTAAAAGGACAATGTTACGCGTATGCAAAAGAGCTCGATTGAGGAGAATGGAGCCGTGGGAACAGCGCATGCGCACAGCGAAGGGAAGTTAAGCCAATGAGTCCGCGGCTTGCTTGCATCTATCTAGACAACAGGCGCTAGACAACGAGGGTGCGCGGAGGAAGGCGGGGAGGGGTAGGAAGATCGCGGAGCACACATTAAGGGACAGCCACGCTATTTGTTGGAGGTGAGTGCTTTAATTTTGTTGTTGTTTCATCTTGAGATAAGGGGGGGGGAGGCAAAAGCCGGCAGAAATCTGGAGCACTAGTTGGGCAAGTTTTCTTCTTGCCTGTTTTCTCTTACTTAGCATGTGTTTGTTTGTTCTTTAAGCAAGGTATTCGTCTTAGGAGAACGGCTTGCATCCGTAAGGAAAGTGCTCTTGTTTCGACGGGGCACTTTGTAAGGTGTTGCTCTTTGCAAATGAATAGACTTGAGACGCAGACTGTAAGAAAATAAACCGGGAAGCGGAACCGCAGGCTCTACAATGCTGCTTGCATTGTTGCAGGTCGAGCATGCGGTGACATCGACTTTTTCAAAAGTGAGCTCACGCGTGTGTCGGAGGCAAACAGTTGCGTGATGAGGTTTCTTTTAAGGCTCAAAGCTGTTTACTCCTGTCGGTCGTTTAAAAAACAAAAACAAAAAAACCAGTGCCGTGGTTGTCGAGAAGACCGGGGCCCTTCTTCTCGAACGCGCTTCATTCCGGGAGTGGGAAATGGCTAGTTTGAAAAGTTGGCTGTTCCGTGAAGAGATCTTTGCAGGCTGCGAGGAGGGGAAAGGAGACCTGCAGCCCCCTGAGTCTCTGCAACTCCAGAGTAGTCTTTTACTCCGGAGGAGGGAAATTCGGCATGGCAGCGGCTCCCTTTGGCCCTGGTGGCGGCGAGAGTTGTTGTCCGTTACTACTACTAGCCGTGGACGCGGGATTGGTGACAATGGGAAGGGGGGGGGGAGAGGGAAGGGGGGTTGCTGCAAATCCGTCGGGGTCGGACTCGGAGCCCCCAGAACGTGAGCGACATGAACGTTCCATTTTGGAATGTTTCCCAGGATTCGCGTTTTCGCCGTGCAAACAATACACCTGTAGATTGGATGGAGCGAGTGAGGAAAGTTGTTACTCCGGGAATGGCAGCCATGCCAGTGTCAATCTGCGCCGCGGGCGGAGCGGGAGAGGAGCTGAAGACAACGGACTGGGACGGCGGTCTGAAATATTCTTGTCTTTTAGAGGCGTTTCCAGTCTTAACCCCGCCGAAACGGAGTGACCTGGGAATGGGGATAAATGTTTCCGACCATACCACGTGCTCCCCGCTGCTCAGGTCTTAGCATTCGCTTTACTGTTTTGCAGTTCTTGAATATATTTGCGAACACCCGAACGTGGATTAACGCGTTCTCGGGCGGATAGGCGAGACAAGGTGGGTGGTTGCTATTTCGAAAGCAGAAGAGAGCGAGAGAGGAAGCAACACGCTCCCCCGTCTGTGACTTTGATCTCAACTTCCACCCAGCCTCGCTGCATAGTCTCTCCCTCCCCGTGTGCGTTTTGTTTTCCTCCAAGGTGATCAGAACCCCCCCCCCTCCTCGATCCGGTGCCCAGTAAATACTATCTTCCTTTGGGGGGGTCCTGCAGAAAACTGTCCGGCCGAGCCTTATTTTGCCGCACGTCGGCAAAGGCAGAGAGCAGAAGCGAAAACAAAGGGCTTATATAGCATGTGGCTGCCGAGCTTTGCAAGTGCGGGGCGGGCGGGGGGTGTTGAAAAGGACCTTCTTTCCACCCCGGTGGCGCAGGGGATGGGAGTGCGGAGGGGCCTGGCGCCCTGGAGTTCCGCCGCAGCTGCTTCTGGAAGACTTTCTGGCGGGGGGGAGGATGTTAAACTTTCAGTGCGCGCCCGCGGTAGTGGCCGCTCCGTGCAAGGTACCACGCTGCTGCGTGCCTGGGAGAGGGGAGGCGTGTCTAGGTGTCTCCGAAAGCAGGAAGCGCCTCCGCTGGGGAGAGCCGAGGAGGCGGATTGTTCCACCGAGCACACCCAGCCCCCGCTGGCTGGACGGGACCCCACGCGGCGGTTCTGGCCGGACCACCGAGCGGGCATTAATCGGCGGTGGCTGGGGGCGGCTAGTGACACGGGTTTGCCCGCCCCTGCCCTCTCGTTTTAAAGCGCCTTTTGCACTCCGCGTGTTTGTACCAGCTTTGCATGACGTCAGGACAAAGCAACGAAGAGGAACCCGAGCATGGGAGGGGGGGAATCGCGCGCACATGTCCGCGGTGGGAGGGAGAGATGTGTTTTTGCAGGAAGTGCTGCGACCGCGCAGAGGTGCGAGTGGAGGCGCGCGAGCGGGGGGGAGGGTGCTCGTTCCTTTTGCTCGGAAAGTAAAACTTTGCCGATCCCTTCCCCTTGCCGCCCTCTTGCCTCCCCATTGACCCGCGGGGTGAAGGCTGCGATGCAAAACAAGGGAAGACAGTCCTGTGGCTTCCCAAGATCGACGGAGCCTAGAAAACCGCGCCCTTCTTCTTAGGGGGGTGTGTGTCACTTTTCCCTGTGCGGGTGAGAGGGGGGCGCTCCGTGTGTCCGGGGATTGCGTGACAATCGCGGTGACCCCGATCTCTGCTGTATCTGCCGAGATTACTGCCCGCCGCTCGCCAGCACTCGGGGGATTAAGAGAGAGGGTCGTCCTCATCCGCCCACCGCAACCCGCACTTCCGAAGCGGCCCCCTTCCCCCCCCCCCCCCCGCCACTAGGTTAAAAACAATAAAAAAACCGAGATGAAACCTGGCGTTCGCCAAGAGAAAAAGCTTTCATTCGCCTGTCTCTCTCTGTGTAACGATTCGCGTTGGTTATGCATGAGTGATGTGCTTAGTGCAGCAATTCGGCGCTGGTCTCCTTCCCTGCCCTTCCGCTGCCTCGCGGGCTCTTTGAGTATCAGATCCTGCCTGGAACAACGATATGATTCGCTTTAATGCCTCCCTGTAGCTGGCTAGTAAGGCTGGGCTCTCTTTCGAGGAGAAATGGTGGCGGTGACTGGCCCTGGAAAAGGGGACAGGCGTCTTTCCTGCAGTGCAAACTTGGTTGGGGTTCGGTCATGTTGCTGTTTGGGTTGTGTGGGAGTGTGTTTTGAGCATGCATGATCCCTCGCGCATGGTGCTCTGCTCGCTGCCTGCCTCTGCCAGAGTGGCGAGCTCCATGTCTACCTGATCATTATGGCCTGTGTTGAAAAGTAGGTCGTCTTTGGCTGAGGTGGCCGCGGGTGGGTGGTCTTTGTTCCTGGCCCTGCTGGCTGGTGCTCGCTGGTGCCACCGGTCTTCTAATTTGCAGGTACTTCCTGCTTCCTCCTCTTCTCAGAAATCTGTGTCCACAGCTTGAGATGTTTCTGTTCTGTTTTTGTTGCTCATTGCGGAGAGGTCCATCAGGTCGCAGCCGACTTGTGACAACCCCGGTAGGGTTTTCAAGGTGAGAGATGTTCAGAGGTGGTTTGCCAGTGCCTGCCTCTGCACAGCAACCCTAGACTTATTTGGTGATCTCTCATCCAAGGACCAGCCAGGGTCAACACTGCTTGGCTTCCAAGTTCTGAAGAAAGAGGGCTAGCCGGGGTTGTCCAGGTCAGGGCGTTTTTATTGTTCCTTCTCCCTAAAGCACATGGCCAAAGGCAAAAGATGGCCCAGGGTCTTCTTGACATAGCGCCGAATGTACCTTTTCTCCCTCGGTGATAATAATGTGCAGTTCACTTGGGCTGAAGTGGACATTGGATTTTTAAAAAACCTCCCTTCGGGCTTCTTTCCAGGATTAACAGTGGTCCCACATGCACATAAATAGCGCAACTGAAGTTCTGTGCATTCCGATGCATATTTGCAGTCTGAAAAGTAGGTATTGGGTTGCATTTCTTTGGGAATAAACCCCATCAGACTCACAATTCCAAGTCAACACGTGCACAGTGGGATTAAACATATCTTGCCTCTTGTCCCTAAGTACTCCTAACTCTCCTGGCTTATATAAATCTCTTATGATCTTTCACACACACCCTTTGGGCTCCTATTTATTGAAAAATTTAGATTGTAAACTCCTTAAAGCAGGAACCTGCATGTATGTGTGTGCATCTATTTGCTTCTGTCATTCTGCAAAGCTCCATGTAGTATATAGTATAGCTCAGTATCTTACAAATAATAAGTTCTTATTCTCTTTTTATTTAGTTAAATAAAGGTGGTTTTGAATGCATCATACGATTGCCAGTGCCTTTGTTTGCTATTCCTATAATTTCCCATAGAGCTCTTAATGTGCAATGCATTTCACAGCAGATTGCACTCATTTTCACAGCCGCAACCCTTTTGAAGTGAGGCTACTGTTGTTGCCATTTTATTGATGAGGGTCAGAGGCTCAGAGGGAGCAGCTTGCCCGTGACCACCCAGAGAGTTTTCATGGTTATAATGAAGCTAGATAATCCTGTGACCTTTGCAACAGGACACACGAATTGAGAAACTGGCAACCTTTCCATGTGCAGGATCCATCTTGGTCCAATTTGTATTATGATGCCCCTTCAAAGCCAGGATAGGCTGGCTTGAATAGTCTGGTTGTTTCTTAAACACAAGCCCTCGTGATCTGCTGGATCAGGTAAAGGCCTACTTTTATTCTGTTCAAGAACCTCACCAGCCATCAGGTTTTGTAGATGGTTTGCTCCAAACAGACTGTGGACGACTGGCCAACTGTCTATTCATCCCATGACTTTATTCCAGTATTACAAATGATATTTATTTTTGTCTGGAAATAAAACTTCCAATTGACAATTTTAAATCCTACTAAATTCAGTCTGTTTGCCCAAGCTTATTCTGAGAAGTGGGCTGTTTACTAGTTAGCTGTACAGTCCATTCTGATGCATATTCTGCTTTGCACACCTCCACCAAAATCCATCCTGAGATTAGCTGTTAGGGGAAGTGCTTTTTAATGTGGGTGGATGTTACGATGAGCTGTGGTGGAGAGCAGCCGTGATCACAAAAGCCCTGGTGCTTCTCTAGTCGGTTGCCTGATTACCTCTGGAGTAGGCCCTGGGAACTCCGCTTGGGTATATGCACTTGGGAGATTCCATCTGAGTGATGTGGTACATGGGGTCGCAAAGAGTCAGACTCGACTGTGTGACTGAAAACAACAGCAATGATCTGTAATTCCATTTCATTGTCTGACAAAAGTGCGCATGCACATGAAAGCTCACACCTTG